CCTTAAGATGCTGCTGCCTTGTGGTGCCATGGTGAGCTCGCGCCCTTGACACGGTGACACCCTTTGCTGCCATGGCCACCGTGCACCTGTCACATGGAGCTGCCTTAGGGTGCCATGGCGACTGGGGCGCCAGCTCAGGATAAAGCTGAGTAGACGTGTGTGTGGTAACCAATATGGCAGAAGCTTAGTCAAGCTGAGACGGGGGGTCACCACAGGCATGAGGGGCTCCCAGCCTCCCCCTCCTGCTGGGGTCACTGCCCCTCCCTCAGCGAGCGGTTCTATCTGAAAGGGAAGAGGGAGGGGACAGAGGGAGCCTACCCCCTCATTAATTATTCATAAGAGGGGCAGGGATTCCACAGTAAATAACCAGGGAGGGCGGTGGTTCTGGGTTAGAGCTCGAATTGAAGGGCGGGGGAGGGATTGTTAATTATTCATAAAGGGGGCGTGCCCGAGCTGGCGGGAGCTGCCTGTCTCGAGCCTGTAGCCTCCCCTCGCCCTCCTCCTTTCGCTTAGGGCTGAAGGGCAAAAAAAAAAAAAAAAAAAAGGCGGGAAACCTGAGGCGATTTAAAAACACTAATAAAGCAGCTGAAAAACCATTTAAGTAATTACCACTGGAATAAAATGTTCGATTTCTGTGGTAATTTCCTGCCTCCAAAAGTCTACATTTGCTACTTTTCCGCCCCTCCCTCCCCATTTCCATGAATTAATTCACTTATCAAATTATCTTATCAATTGTTGCTGGAATGAAAATATTTTTTATTTCTGTCGTAATTCTATGTAGTTCTATTCTGCACCTCCACCCCTGTATAAACACACAGTTCTTTTCCCCCGAGGAAAACTATTAAAGCCTTCCCCTCAAAGCAAATGTGGTAAATTTTAAAAAAAATCCCACATACAATATATACTCTTTCATGAAGTTTGAGAAATTTCAGCTAATTCAATGCAATTTCTTTTTTGTTTAGGCAAAGTCGGTGCCCTTATAAATCCAGACAGCAGAGTCTGAGCTCACCCATCTCACCCCACCCTCAGAGGAATTTCCCTAGGGGTGAAACAGGGTTTAGATCTGGTCTGTATCAACTGGATATATGTTTATTTGGAGGTATCACACTTTAAAAAAATCTATTATCATTGATGTGTGGCAGGTTTTGGAGCGGGAGTGCACAGAATGGGGGTCAAAATGTGACCCATAGGGTCATATCATCCGGCCCAAGGGTTAATTACAGCCCACGGTGTTTATTAAGTGAGGCCCAAGGTACAAATGTGGCCCAAGAGGTTCTGAAGTGCAGCCCAATGGTCACACCAGCCAACGGAGTCATGAAATGCAGACCAAGGGCTTGTGGTGACCCACAATGCAGCCAAAAGGCCAAACATGACCCATGGTTTCACACAGTGCTGCCGAAGGGGCAAACATAACTTGTGTGATAACAAGCAGATGTTAGCATCCCTTCCCTGGGATTGCAGCATGGATCAAAGCACAGACACTTTGGGGTGAAGTCAAAAAAGCAATGCCTTCTAGCAGGAAGACACAAATAAGAGCTAATGTTAGGATTATCACGGGCATTTATTTTTTAATCTGTAATGTTATGTATGTTTGTTAATTTAGATGGCTTTGGGACTGATTCTCATTTATACTAAGGCCTTTTTACACCACTCTAACAGTGAGAAGCATCCTTAAAGTGGGAACAAATCATACTGCATTTCATCCACTTTAAGGCACTGCCAATCTGGTGTGAATGAGAATCAGGTCCTTTTAATGGCAAATTAGGTGCAGCCCATGGATGGCTGGCATGCTGCCACTTCAGTCCTCTGTGTCACAAAGTTTGATCACCCCTGCGTCAGAAGCTCTCATGTTTTTAAGTGTGTGTGAAGGGAACTGGAGAGAGAATTCCTATTTATGTTCTTGGTGATTCATTTATTTATTTGTGAAATGCCTAGGGAGGAAAAAAGACAAAACCCTGAAGCTGCTGTTTGAGGTAAATAGCTGTTGGTATTATATACTTAGCAAAATGATAATGCAAACCCCAGAAAAATTTAAATGATTAGGAAAAAGATGTATTCATTGGATGAAAATATATGGACTGTTTATAAACAGAAAAGAGTATAGAAGGAACGTTGACTGTTGATGGCTTCTGTCTGCCCTATAAATAAATAATTATATACAGAATAAATAAAAGAAAATCACTGTTATTAATTATTATAATTAATTTGATTTTATATGCTTAACATTTACATTTCCCTCTTCCAGTCTTGATTAGCAGTTCTCCAGACAGGAGGGATCCACACAGAGGTTGTTGAGGGCTGCACAAAATTGCTAAGTGAAATCAGTCTTGTCATGTTTTCGCTGATCTCCCTGAGAAATGGCTCTAAAATGTGGCCCATAACGTAAAACTTCTGTCACATGCTCAGTTTTTCTTTAAATTGCCCGGACTCTGCTCCCAATGAAAATAAGGGAGTTTTACCATTGACTTTAATGGGAGCAGTGTTCAGTGCTTTTGAAAATCCCACTCATCGTGGTTAAGTGGCTGCTTCTGCACATAATATTTCTGCAGGCTCTGGATGAGATTTTCAAAAGCACATACCGTGTTTCCCCGAAAGTAAGACATCCCCCGAAAATAAGACCTACTTCCAGTTTTGCCTCTCGCTGTAATATAAGGCATCCCCCGAAAATAAGACCTCCCCTATAATAAGGCCACCCCGGAATATAAGGCCCCGAAGCTCCAGGAAAAATAAGACCTCCCCTGAAAATAAGACCTAGCGCATCTTTGGGAGCAAAAATTAATATAAGACACTGTCTTATTTTCGGGGAAACAGGGTAGTAGTGCTCTAAACGCCTATTGACTTCAGAGAAGCAGAGTTAGACCAGCACTGACTGCTTTCAAACAAATAAACAAAAAACACCCTCAGATTGTAACTCTATTTCTAACGTACGAATCAGCAAAATGTATTGGACTTAGCCAGCCTTGAAAGAGTTTTAGTGGTGAAGAGAGTTATATTTTTCTTTTACTAAAACAGGCCTTTAACTGCCTTTATGTACAGAGTAAGACTTTTTATTGCCCCACACCTGCAGTTGTCTGTAAAAAAACTCTCACTGACTTTAAATGTGGATTTCTATGCTTTTCAAAGGTGCTGTTACATACATCTATGATGTTACTTAAATGAATATTTTTGTTGTTTTTACAAGTATCAAATTCATTTGCTCTCCCTGGTTGCTTAAGTAGTCTAAAATTGAATAAAACGCTGTAATTTTAAAAGTCATTAAATTTGCTCACAAGCCATGTGAAAAGTTAAGCTATGGATTTTTTCAGCTAGCATGAATTATCTCATAACTAATTTAAAGATGCCTGTTATAAAGTGTAATTCCCTTTCATGAACAACTGAAAAATGAATTGAAACATTGTCCTGGGCACAGAGGAGAAAATACTATTCATTCAAACATGTTTGTAATGCTTTAATTAAATGGTCCATAATTTTTTGAGTTCATTCAATATACAGTTCTTGCATTGGGATTGTGATAATTCACTATGTTATGTAAAATGGTTCAGTGAATATGTGTTAGAGAAATGTGCCTTGTTTGCTTGATGTTTTCAAATTGTTCTTTGCTTAAGTAAATGTAACCTGTCGACTGACTAAGGTGCATCAGTACATTTTCAACCCTTCAAACAATGAGCATAATTGAGAGGAGAAAGGAGTCCACTTGTGGTGTTACCACTGTTGCTAACACTTACAATTTTATTCCAAGTCTTGCAACATTTGGTGATTGTCTGAAAGCCCCAGTTGCTGGAATCAAGAGATTGCATGAGAATCTTAGCTTTAATTTTAAAAAAGAAGTTATTAGCCCTCATGGTTACAGAGAAAAGCTTGAAAATATTAAGTGTGTCCCCCTTAAAGGCTCAGAAACCAGAAGGCAAATATAAGAACACAATGTTTTTTGTTTTTTTAAAATATTCTCATAATTTTACAGACAATCTTATGTGTTATGGGGGGCTTGTCTCATGATTTCTGTAAATCTTGAGGATGGTAATACTGTGCTACATTACAATATTTGCACATTCTGTGCTGTGATATTTGTCATTATCAGGAATTAAGCTATACCTCAGTTTAAATACTGCAGGGAAAGTGATATCTTGATGCCTACTTACATTCATAGAATATCAGGGTTGGAAGGGACCTTAGGAGGTCATCTCTGGTCCAACCCCCTGCTCAAAGCAGGACCAATCCCCAGACAGATTTTTATCCTAGTTCCCTAAATGGCCCCCTCAAGGATTGAATTTACAACGCTGGTTTTAGCAGGCTAATGCGCAAACCACTGAGCTATCCCTCCCCCCAATACCAAATCTTAATTTTTATTGTCGTGTACAAGAATACATACAAGTAGAGTGCCTCAGACAGACAAGAGACATACAAATCCTTTGAATGGCCTCCTTAATTTTTAATGTTCTGTTACATGGTTAAAGTAACATGGAAGGGTAAAGTACTAGAAGGATATTGACTTATTTATAATAGCTCCTTAATATATTTTGTGGCATTTCATATACTTCCTACACTTTTATTTTTTCTCTTAATTATCTTTCAAACCTCCTGAGGCCCTCCCTGTCCCAATACTGGTCACTGCTATCGCCACCCCCCTCTCCACTTATAACTTCTAATCGGGATACTTTCTTCCCCCAGACACTGAATTACAAAGCAAAAATAATTTCCCATACACACACACAACACGTATACATTCTCTCTTTTTGTGCTATATGGGGGAAAAAAGAGTGGTTTTACTGATTATACTGGAAAGAAAGGAAATATAGAACAGGAAACTATAAATATGGATTTTGGAGTGTATTGATGTAATTTTGTTACATTTAAAGTAAAACTGTACCTTCCTACCCATGCAGTAAAACTTTCATATTCCATTACCATATCACTCAATCACTTATTTCATTTTATCTCCCTCATGGGTTTAATTTCCTTCCCTATATGCCTTCTGTTTTTTCTCTGCAGGAAAAATTTATGGGACTAGTAGAAGGATGACATCCACTATAAGTACCAGCTTCACCTTGATTCCCAACCAGAAATACAGGCGCAGTAGCCGTCGCTCCAAACCATTCTGCAACACTGTGGACACAGATTCCGAGTCACTGTCAACGCTCGGGAATTTCAAAGCACTGCCATTAGAGATCTTTCAGATGGTCTTGAAATATCTCTCAGGTGAGGAACTGAGAGAAATTATGTTACTGCCCATAAATGAAAACGATCACATGCAAAAATCCCATTTAGTAAAAACGCCAAGTTTGAGGCCTATGGGCCTTGCTCAATAATGGTTCACCTTACTACAAATTGAAGGGATTTTCATTAGGTTTGTTCATACTCAGCTTGGGTTCCTGAAGAGCCTCATCACACACACACCAAGAAAAAAAAAAAAGAATGAGAGTACTCAGGGAGCTCTTTGAAGTTCTTCTGCCCACCGTATATAAAGATGACAATTTAACGGATATATGCAAAATCCTGAATGACCATAATTTGTTGGCAAAGGAATTTACAGTAATGACATTGTCTCTTACTTCTTTCTGAAGTCTCTTGGCCTGCTTGTACTGAGATGTATAGTAAAGTTCTTGACTACTGAGCAGTTGTGTTTTTGCAATAAAGGTTTACAGGTATACTGGGTTTTGCTTTTTCAGTGAAGGATATCAGCATGCTAAGCATGGTGTCGAAAGCCGTCAGCAACCGCCTTATTAATTACATCTCAACCTCATCAGGAAACAGAAGGCTTTTACTGCAAGATTTTCATAACCTTGAGATATCTGGCAAGAGAGAAGGATCCTGTGTATTAGAACACTACAGATCTCTAGGTGACCTTTATAATAAGAATGGTAACAATTAGGAGAGAACTAAAATCAATTAAAGAGCTTCTACTGTGATATTTAGTGATTGATAGCAGATTAAAATGGTGAAAATGTTTTCTGAAGTGTATAGGTGTTTGTGACCCTCATTGAGGCTGAAATTCATCCTTGTGCGAAGGACCAGCAACAAGGCGCATACCTACTTAAGTCTCAATTAAACTTTATGCATTGCGTGTATTTCATCATGAAATAATTCTTTCAACATCTCTTAATATACTTTTAATCAGCAATAATAATAATACATACATTATATAAGTATAGACAAAAATAGCATATCTTTTGCTTCTTCCTTATTTAATTTTTAAAGAATATAAAAGGGCAAGTGAAATATAAAAGGGCAAGGTGAGTGGATCTCTCATGAGAATGAGAATGAAATAGAAAGTATTTCACCTCTATATCAATGCTCAAATCCCACCTAGTTCTGGAGTGATCAAGAATCATTACCATCAAAGGCCTGACAGTCTATGTGAAGTGAATTGGCAATCTCATTCCAGTTCCTAGATCGGAAGTAAACTTGTCACAAAAAGCACCATGACAACTGCCACTGATTAACATTCTCCTTGGCAGCCTTATATCAGAGCTCAAAGACTGAAGTGGGCCTGATGAGTAAACTTTCCTCTCACCCTTAGGTCAGGGTGGAGATACAATGTGAGAATCGTGCTGTTGCTGCCCAGGCTGTACTCTTAGTTTCACCCGCGCAACTATATCCTGGCACAGCAAAAAATAAATATAGGTCAAAATAATGTGACCAGTGAGTAGCACTGCATATTTTCATATAAAAAAATCATTATTTTCTTTTTAACTTTTGCACTAAATTACTACTGAATCTTGGCAGCCAAATTCCCCTTAATCTTCCTCGCCTTCAATCAAAAGCAATGCAGTCTTTCTTCTCTTATGCCACTTGGACTGTATCATTTCTCTCCCTCCCCCCATTCATTGTAATCCTTTCTCTAAAAGAGAAACAAATGAAATTGCAATTTGAACAATATTGATATAAGCCTCCTTAACTGATAAGGTCTCATAATTAAATTGATCCTGACAGTAAAACAAAATTATGTCAAGGTTATATTCAGGAGCTAACTTTAAATTAAGAGATTCCCAAATTAAAGGAATAATGTCAAAGTTAATTAGGCCAAACATGAGTTCCCTTCAAATTTACATGGATTGTTTACAATATCTTACTGATAACTTCAGTGTTTATTTGTTTTAGTTTTAAAATGAAATCTGATTAACTAAATATTATGCCAAAAAATAAAGTCAGCACTGTTTTGTACATTGTAATAACAAACTTTGTATTAGAAAAGACAACTGTTATTTAACTACCGCTGTATGAACTCATCATTATAATAAGCATAGTCATTTAAACATGACATACCTAGATATTTGCACTGATTTTCATATTTTATCATCTACTAAATGTAAGGGCCCAATCCTGCTCCCATTAAAGTCAATGCCAAAATTCACTTCAATAGGAGCAAGACGGCTCTAAGGATAAAATTCACTTCTGTGTAGAGAGCCAGCACAAGGCTTATACACTGCATTAATCTCACTTAAACCCACAGAGTGAAATCCTGGCTACGTTAAAGTCAATGGCAAAAATTGCCATGGGCTTCAATGGGACCAGGATTTTTCACCCTCCAGGCTTAAATTGGACTTGAGTAACACATAATTTTTGTGCTGCCCCTCTGCACAGGCGCAAATTTCACCATATGAAAGCAGGCCCAAACCTTTGCACTGGTAATAAAAAAGTTATCCCCAGGTTGACGACTGTACTCATGTTTGCAGATATATTGTGAAAGACATTCATCTACTCTTTAGGGGTCTGATTACAAACCTATTGAAGTCAATGGAAAGTTGATTCTTTGGGATTTTGGATCAGATACCAGACTGATAAAGAAAATTATGTCTGCCATTTAAGAATGTTAACAACATACTTCCAGATTGGGAAAAAAGAGTCCATTCAAAATCACAGGAAGTGTATAATACACTTTTTGACATCACAGAAATAACATGTTAACCCAGGAGATGAGCAACTTAGAAAACATTTGAGTACTCTTCTGTAGATTTCTTGCATTATTAACAAACAAGATATATGTGGTGTTCTACCAGATGTTTTTGAGGGGAAAGATTTTTAACCCATTTGCTTTCCATTGGCTTAGAAAAATTGTTGCTTAACAAACAGCTGTTCTGCACTATAATGTATTCAAGCCCTTTGTATCCTAAGTTCTTCTAGCTTTGAATCTCATGTAGAAGAAAAAAAAAATTCTACTGCCTATGTTTTATATTAACACAGTTCAGAATAACTTTTCTGTTTGACAATGTGGTTGGCTTAAAAGATTTTTGGAAGCTCAGCTTTCGATGGTGTAAATAGAAAACTAGTGCATCTTCAAATGTTACTTATTGTGCCTCTCTTAACGGAAATATTTTTAACAGCTGTAATTCAAAAACCAAAATAATAATTTTTCAGGGCTGTGACTCACATGGAGTTTAAAACAACGTAGTAAACAAATTATGTCATGAGAGCCTTGCACACTCCCTATCAGGCTTTCTGACATAAAAGGCATCTCTATTACAGAGGCTAGCATACCCTTTTACAATGCACAGTTCACCATAGGTGCTGGAACTAAGGGTGCAGGGGGTGCTGCAGCACCCCCTGGCTTGAAGTAGTTTCTATTATATACAGGGCTTATAGTTTGGCTCCCTTCTCCCCACTCTAAAAATTGTTCCAGCACCCCTGCAGCAAATTGTAATGTACCACTTTCTTTTCTTGCAGAAATAGTATGGTACTGTATTGCTTGTGCAGTGTATTCTTCAACTAGTCCAATTATTTTCATCATTTGAACGATTATGTATGTGTTTCTATTCACAGGTTTGTTGCTTAAAAGATGTACACTACTGCTGCCCACAAAAGACAGGCTAAAGTACATACACAAGATACTCTCAGAAGTAAGCTCACACTCATTGCTCTGTACTGAAGACTTCTAGAATCTTGTTTTGAACTATCACTTGCACCTATATTAATGTTTCAATTTAAAAAATGCTGTTAATGTAATGATTTAAATTAATTCATTTATTTATTGACCTATCTGTAATGCTCATCAGTGTAATATCATGAATTTACTAACTTGGAATCAGTCTCTTGTTGGTTAAAAATCTTCCTTGGATATTTCAAATCTTTGGTACCTGAAATTAGGTCCCTAAATCCATATTTAGGCATTTAAATAAGTGATCTGATTTTTCAGAGATGCTGATCCCCTAAAGCTTTAGACTGAAGTCAGTGTGAGCTGTGGGTGTTCAGAACTATGTCTAACTTTAGGCACCCACTGTTTGAAAAATATGGCCTAGGTGTAGGATTTTCAAAAATATCTAAAGGAGTTAGTTGCCCAACTCCTAGTGAAAGTCAGTGAGTTAGGTGCCTAATTCCTTCACATGTTTTTAAAACCCCACTCTTAGTGAGTATAATCTTCTATATAACTATGATTTTTATGTTTAATTTTTAAAACAGATCACCCAGTGCAAATAATATTTGCCACTTTGTAACAGAATGAGCATAGGTTGAAATTCAGCCCCGTGAAGAGATCCTACAGAAGGTCTATATTCCACTTAAATTCTGCTTAGAGGGCAAAGTGGTGCATAATGCCTTGGGCAGGCTCTCTGCACATGGTAAATTTTAACCATAATTAATTCAAAACATTATGTTACCAAACTGTATTAGTTTCTCGAGGGGGAAATGATTATACATAGCAACAGACATTATTAATAAAATATCACATCTGTCTGAAGATTCTAAGGTGGTCTGTGTGAAAGTTCCCAGAGGACCAATGGCCACATCATAAAAAACATCCCTAATTGGCAACCTTGTTGGGTGTCTCAGCAGAGATGCAAGGGTTGAGTGAATGTAGTGTAGAGAAAGCCCCTTGGGTCAGTGTTGTGGTAGATTAACTGTGTGGGAAAGCTTCAAGCGCAGAAGTGAGTTTATTGCCAATTAAGCTACATTGATGAAATGAGGCAACAATGTTTTGTCTTTGCAGGTTTCCTGTTTTAAACTCAGTGGTTGCCCAAGCCCGTTGCATTGCTTGGGATTACAATGCTATGGAGTGTTTTTACAGGTATAGTGTATTTTTCAGAGAAGAAGAAGGCAGGTATCATTAATATAAAAGAAACCAAAGTTTGCCTTTTTAAAAATCTATCAATGCTGAAATACTCAGTCTTTTTAAAAGAGTGCAAATAAACATCATCATCATCCAACTTAGTTATACTTTGAGAAGCAGTGGGCTGAAACTGCTTTGCAAGACATTTCAAAGTTTAACATGGCTTTCAGGTCCCAAACAATGCATTTATTCAGTACCACAGTTCTTTCTGGCTCTTAAAATAGTTAACGCTAAAAAATGTATCAGTCTGGATCTTATTATTAGTCAGTCTGGATTTTAATTTTAATTAGCAGTTTATTACCAAAGAAGAATACATAGGGGGCCATTTCACTACATTACTTCAAACATCAAATTCACAACACCCTAAACAGGGATTCTCTGATTTAAAGGCAACTGGCCCAAGGTCTGTAATTAAATGGAGGAATTGTGCTAGCTATTTGGGATGCAAAGAAAGCAATGACAAATCTGTTAGTTCAGCAATCAACACTGTATTTACTATAATGACTACCAAGATTGCAAACATGCTGTAAGGGACTGAGGATAGGACTTCTTTAACACTAATTGGGGAAGGTATTTCATTGTCAGATGGATAGGATCACCATTATGGGTTGCTTTAGTTGAGAGCTGCTTTGTCTAATCACCTGAAAAAAGCTTGTAATCTTTGTTGAAGCACAAGCATTTTCTGAACATTTTAAATGAAGCTAAATTGTGTTTTAGAAGAACTTACGTGTTCAGACACTTCTGGAAATATATCATATTAAAGTAGCTTATTAATAACAAAGATACTGTTCAGAAATGTGTCGTTGTCTGTTTTATTCCCTGCCATGGCTAACTATTATAGATAATTATTTGCACCAGGATATTTATGCTCTTAGCAACTGTTTTCCTGCTTATTCACATCCAAGGTTCACAAATTATCTCTTTGGCCAGAAGGTGCAGCCCCAAATACAGTTCAGAATTGTGAGCTACACAAGGACCCAGAAACCCCTTTGGTATAAGTTAGAGCAGCCTGCAGGGCAGTTGAAGCTGATGGTGGCTTTCCCACAGCCCCAAAGGCCTGCTATGAAAGCTTGCACTCTAGGCACCACCCTTTCTGCTCATTTTCTGACACCATTGGGGACAGGGGCTCTATGGGTTTGTGTGTGGTGTGTAGGGCTGCTTATGTCAGACTTATGGTGACCCTGCAATGAGGGAATTCCTCAGGGGCCATTTCACCTTCTTTATGTCACTGGAGTTCCATGAAGGGGCAGCAGCAAGGGCAGAACCTTCCTCCTCCTATTTTTGGTGGAATTGTCATGATTTGCTGCTGTGAGAATGTCTATGATATAATGGCTACTGATATCAGCTACATCTGTAGATATCTAGAGAAATTCCATTGATCTGTGAGATTAGTGTCTAGCCCAGTGTTTCTAAACTACTGTCATCTGTTTATTTTTGTTTTGTTTTTTTGAACCACTGTATTACTGCCCGGAGTGTCATAAAGCCGTGTCTGAGGGCCTTACAAAACAAAGGCGCTCCTATGTACATCTTTGATTTTCCTTTTAGATTTAGCAAATTCCTGTTACACAAACTTTTTGCTTACACGATTATTTTCTGATTTCAGTGTTGTATAGATAGGGCCCTAGGTTTTTTTTTTTTAATAATATTTTTCACTTTGCAAGAAGTCCATTTTGAAAGACAAGGATGAAGATGAAAATAATACACAGTAGTTCAGATGCACCAGTCTCCACTATGTAAATGTGTCCTCTCCATAAATACAGAAAAATTGATCATACATATATGACTATAATAACAAGCATTGTGATTTAATTCTATTTATCTGTCCTTCATTTGGTGTCGTCAGACCCTGACTGCAGGCTGGGATGAGCTAGAATGCCATCGTGTTTTTAACTTCCTCTGTGAGCTGAGCAATCTACCCCGCAAAGTACAGACAGTTGTCAGCAGCAAACCAGGTGAATACCTGAAACAAAAATGTCCTGGAAAATACAAATGATGATAATAAGAGTCTGTCATGGCAGCTATATCATCCTTTTGCTGTGAGTTCCGGAAATGGATTCAGATTATTACAGAGGAGATGCACCCCAGACTCAAGGATGGTTTGTGCCACATGATCCCTGCAGTACCTGATCCTTTCTTGATCCATATTTATGATGCTTTAGTTGCAGAAATGACAGAAAATGAATGCTCTGATGCTGGTAACATGCTTGCATATAGCTGAAGGAAATCAGCACTATTAACTGAATTTAGTTGTTTTCTGATGAAAACAAGCAATTGACTTTTATCTTTGGCATGTTCTGTGTGGTGAAGTTTATCTCTTTGAGACGCAATTGATTTTGTTGGATCTTATCATTTCCATATGAAATGTATGTAAAATTTACATGCAGTGAACCTAATTCTCCACTGCATTACACCAACACCAGTGCAATCAATGGAGTTACACCAGCTTAAAACTGAAGTGGTGCAGTAGAAAATCAGGACCAATATTTTAAGCATATCCTGAAGCATCGCTCTAAAACCAAATTCTCCAGAAATTCTCCGGCACAGTACTCCATATATCACTGGAAATGTTCACATGAGGCCTCCTGCATAAGCGGTTGTAGAAGGCAAGCATGCAATCAACTGCTTCTATTTACTCCTTTTGGCACCATATAATAGACTCACAGGCAGAAAGAAGCACAGCAAAAGTAAAAAATAACGGCGTGCCCCTGAAACAGAGCATGAGATGTGGCAGAGAAAACATTGTGCAGGCAGGTAGAATTAGTGGTTTGAAGCAGTGCAGTGTGTCTGTTAGACTAAAGCAGTCATGAGATAGTTACAGTTCAGAATTTCAGGACCTTGTGATCTCAGTTACTACAATTTGACACTAACTCAATGGGAGTTATGCATCTAGAATCTTAAAAATCCCACTAGGCACCTACCTACATCTGTAGGAGCCTAAATACCTTTAAAAATCTAGCCCTATGTGCCCGTATAGCCTAAAAACCTTTCTCCCTCTCACTCCCCATATTTATAAACCTGTTGAAATCACCAAAGTGTAATGCCTGATGGATTTATAATGTACAAATTCTCTTGTCCTAGGAAGTGCCCGAAAGCTGGAATTACGGATAAGGTTATTCTGTCGCAGTGTCCTGCTAAATCACTGGATTCATCGAAGTGATTCTGCATTTTGGCTGACTCGTATCTTAAAACCGTGGCCAATGGTTAATCAAGCCCGGCTGTTGTACATCATTTTTGGGCCAGTCTCCTCTCTAAATGGTGAGTAAATTTAACATGATAGACCAGAATTTCTCCCTTAGAAAACAGGCTGTCTCACAGCCTGTGTAAATAAATGGGCTTTCAGGGGACCAATGTAAGGGTTGTATGGAATGGATTCCCCCTCAGTCAAGAGGTAGGGCTGTATATCCTGGAATGGCTGTGTGGACACTACTATAGACCATAAGTTGTAGTAGAAGCAACAAACTCTTTACTCATCATTGTGAGCTTTTGGGCCAAAGCATACACACAAGTTGTGAACCCATTATTCCCTCTTCTGGTACTCCCCTGCACACCTCACAACAGCTCTTCCGGATTCCTATGGAGAGAGTTGCCATGGATCTTTTCAGCAGTATGCAGAGAACTGTGGGGTGCTGTGTAGTTTCTCTGCTTTCTAGCTCCATGTATGGCAGAAACGCAATGGTACACTTTGTTATGGGCCTTCCCATAGGCCAGGAAGATTTCACACCCGGAGGAAAAGCACTTGTGTTTATTGCATTTCACTTTAGAAGGGAACATTTACCTCTATGCAGATTTATTCCTAATAAAATTACTCTTTTTCAAAGATTTGACACACTCAGTTCATATTAATTTTGGCAGCACTTAAGCTTCCAGGTAATTGCTTGGACACACTACTGAGAATGCTTAACAATGGAGCTGATTACTCCTGATTTATACCAGTGTGAGAGGGGAATCAAGCCAATTAACCTCAGTGATGTCACACAGAACATTTTAGCCATTTCCCAATACTTTTTTGTTTTGCTCCAGCTGTAGCTACATTACTGTAAACTCTTGAAGACAGAAACTCTGACTTTACTTACCAGTGTATGGCCATGCACTCCTATGATGTTACCTACAGGTCTGATTTTTCACAAGTTCTGAGCACACACAAATTCTACTGAAATCAAAGAGAGCAGCACCACCTCTGAAAACCAGGCCCTTTATAAATAATGAAGTATAACTTTAGAACAATTGACCCCTTACCTGTTTAACATGGAGCTTTTTAAAATGGTTTATATTACAGTTCAAGTGAAGAAACAAACTGTGTTTTCCCTCTCTATTTGCCTATACTTGTGATGTGAAGGTAGCTTTAGCACTGAACCACAAGCATGTGTATCACGCTCTGAAATCAATTCTCTTTTTCTCACTTAAATATTAATTCTGTGTTTCCTTAAAGCATCCAGTGATTCTGATTCATGTTACAATCTACACTGTCCCTTCTGCCACAAGTGAGATGAAATAAAAAGCACTTGTACAAATAGGGATTTATGCTTTTGCCTGAATCACCTTTTCTTTTTCCAAGCCAGGCTTTGAGGTCCCAGTATAGGTCTTCTTCGTTTAGCAAACTACATTGTCACTTAGTAGTGATTGTGATTAATGTTACCTAGGACATGTGGTTTGGCAGAAAATGATAGAAGGACCAACAGATGAGACCAGTTTAAAGGGTCTAGCTGATGCTATTAAACTACTGTATGACACAGAAGCTAAAGAGTGGACAGCAGATGATGTTATCAGTCTTGTGGATGAATTGTCAGGTATATTTTTGCCTTTATCATAGACTCATAGGATTATATAATCATGTCCTCTCAGACTAAAGAGATATGTGTCAGATAGTAAAAAACTGAAGCACATTGGGAATCTGAGTACCCCCTAATCCCTTGCAGTAGCTGTACTATACTGGAAGGTCAATAAAACTGGAGGTTATGCAGTAGTCAGAGATGGAAGAGACCAATTCTGCTTATAAACCAAAGCCTTTTTTCCCAAAAGTGAAACATTTTAAGTAATAACATATGAAAAACTTCAAAAATAAGTGTTCTATCATCATGTTCAAGGGACACTGTCACACAGTTCAGGTCCAAAATTTAGGTTTTGTTCAAAACAAAGTTTTACTAAACTTTATATTAGTAGCAAAGAGTCCTGTGGCACCTTATAGACTAACAGACGTACAGGAGCATGAGCATGTCATGCATCCGAAGAAGTAGGTATTCACCCACGAAAGCTCATGCTCCTATATGTCTGTTAGTCTATAAGGTGCCACAGGACTCTTTGCTGCTTTTACAGATCCAGACTAACACGGGTGCCCCTTTGATACTTTATATTAATAGATATGTTTTCATGATTTTTTTTGTTAAATGTCAAGAAAAATCCATTTTTGTTTGACTTGAACCATTTTTCCTATAGCATTTGTACCCTGGGCATTCTTATTCTTGGGGTTGAGAACCAAAAAGTGACAGTAATTAGAAATGAGGGAAACTGTCTAATGTATTTCCATTATCCAAGCTGTCAAATACAAAAATAAACAAAAAAGATAAATAGGAAAAAGTACACTAGATTTTTTTTCAAATCTAATGCATGGTGGTTATTAATAATCCTAATAAAGACAACTTTGGTTATCCCCAGAACTGATCCCATCCCATTGACTTTAATGTTAATGGTATTTGGATATTAACTGCTTGGTGTGCCATTTATTGGCAACCTTTTGGAAGAGAGGTTCCACTTGTAATGAATTTGCTGGCTCGGAGTCCGCAGCCTGGAGAGCTCAGGGAGAGGTACCATGCAGTCCCATGGGTCCCCAGTGCTCCCTGTGGAAAGCCCCAGCTGCAGGCAGGCTTGCAGGGCTGTAGCCAGGGAAGGAAAGCACTGGGATGTGCTGAGCCTGGGCCACCAGTGCCAGGTCAGGACACAACCTGGAAGGTGCAGAGAGAGGTTCTGTGCAGCCCCATAGACCCCGAGTGCCCTCTCTCTTGGCTGCAGGGACTCTAATTGGGGCTTCCCATTGGGCAAGGATGCTGGCACCACAGCCCATTACCTCCTGTGTGGGCAGCAGGTTCTCGGTCACGGGGCTGCCCCTGCTATTGTCTCAGGCAAGGGCCATCTGCTTATTATTGGGAACTTTTGGATAATGGAAGCTTTATGCTGGGAACCAATAAGTTGCTAATAACTGGTATCCACTGTAGTTTCGTTTTTAATACAGGTGAGGACAAATTTGTTTTTTTTAATATGGTTTTTTTTTTAAACCTCTTTAAATACAAAGTATGGTGGCCTTTACTGGGAAAGACGCTGGTCTCTGGAAAGGAATCCATTCCAAGGAATCCATGATTTCATAATTTGGTGGTTTTATTTTAAGTTTGGTTTGAGTTTGGAGAGATTGTATTATACATTTTATTATCATCAGCCTTAATACAAACAATCCCTATTGGCACCATAGTAACTCCATAGCTCCCAACTGTGCTGCAGGTGTGGTTGAATAGGCTTTCTTCTCAAACATGTTGGATGGCTGTCAAATGCAGTGATTCATAAATTCAAATACTTCCAGAATTTTGTTCAGATAATTTTCTTTTAGTTTAATTGTAACCTACATTTTAAAACTTTATATTTAACTAAATTATATTCAGTCTGTTGAATCATAGGTAATGAAAATCCTTTGTGTTTTATTATAAAAGTGGTTCCCCGGGAGTGGCTCATGGAGAATAATGCTCGCCTCCTCATCCTGAGTGGGAACAACATCTGCTTCACCTTCATGGCTAGTAAAGCTGTGAATGGGCGGGCTGTTGAGCTGGCCAGGCTAGTGGTCTTTCTGGCTTTGGTGAGTAGCACCGAATAGAATGTTTCCTGGCATTTTGCCACTAAATCTGCAACTCTGCTTTCCCAGGTCTGGGGCCGGAGTCTCCTTCCACTTACACTAGTGCAGCGGTTCTCAAACTGTGGATCGGGACCCTCTTTTAATGGGATCGCCAGGGCTGGCTTAGATTTGCTGGGGTCAAAGCCCAAGTCCGAAGACTTCAGCCCTGGGTGGCAGGGCTCAGATTACAGGTCCCCCTGCCTGGGGCTGAAGCCCTTGAGCTTTGGCTTTGCCCCCACCCACCCGGGGTAGTGGGGCTTGGGCGGGCTCAGGCTTTGGTTCCCCGTCCTGTCATAATTTTTGCTGTCAGAAGGGGGTCATTGTGCAATGAAGTTTGAGAACCCCTGCACTAGTGTAAAGCGAGAGTAACTACATTGAAATCAATGGGCCTGGTTCTCTTTTTCCCTAAGGGCCCCTGTACACTGCTTGAAGGTAGCAGCTCTGTCCCTAGGGAAAAATTCTTCCAGCATAAGGTGGGAATGGAGTTCTCCCACCTTCATAGTACTGATAGAACAGCTCTGCAACAGCACCCTCTTCCCTAGGCCCTGGAATAGATTCCAGAGTAGGACTGAAGTTGACTGTATTATGGGATAGTGTCTTAATTGTCTACTATGAATTTTAATACTTCAACTTGTTTTGTTTTTTACCTCACCACCATCCTGGGCACGTCTTATAATATTTCTTGTATGTTCTAGGTCTGTGAGAAGGACTTGTACTGCATGGATTGGGCAGTAAAAATGATGCAGAAAGTCTGCAAGGTTTTCAGCACTCCAGGCGAAAGGAATAACTTCCTGCAGAGTGTGGAGAATGCATTTGCTCACATGATCATGGACATGCTACAGTCAGTAATGTCTGGTGAGTATCTATGCCTGTCTGCAACAGGTGAGCCCTTTCAATGGGACATGCTCACTAGCCAAGACTCCACCAGCGAAGGGGATGGGAGCTCCTGTATCATCACAACTTCAGCCAGGCCCCCTTCTTAGCCAGCCAGAGCTACCCTGGAATGGGATTCATCGGAAAAGATGGGCTAGTCTTTTTATAATTCTAATGCCCTGTTGGCTGATTGTTTTGTCATGTGGATTGGGTTATTTTCAGCTGATTTTGTAAAGTGTGTGTGTGTGTGTGTGTGTGTGTGTGTGTGTGTGTGTGTGTGTATAGATTATGCTAGAGTGCTTAGTGGTACAGCATTAGGAGAGAGACTTTTTGTAGGAAGAAATAAATATGCAAGTGTTGTTCAGTGATAATATATTCAACCATAGGTACTCAAAATATGTAACTACATCCAGAGGGTGGGAGTGAAATCTGTATACTTACACTAAGAGACTCCTAGTGGTTTAGATGATGAAACTGATTTCTTTTTTTTTTTTAAACACATGACAAAAGTTTTATATCACTTATTTGACCCATTTAAATCAGAGGTGCCCAAACTTTGCCCAAAGGATGGACACACTTTTATCTTGTCAGATGATAAGAAGCACCTAATTTGCATAAATTCTGACTAATTGCAGATACCCTTTCCTTCTGCAAGATACAGGTTTGAAG